AATAATTATTTATGTTGTGTGTGTATGCATATGAGTGTGCATTTACATGTCTACCCATTCCTAAAAGAACATAGGAAGTGTCTCCATCAGCCAATCTCTGACTTCTATAGTGAGACAGTGTATCTCATTCAACCAGGAGCTCACTAACTTGAGCATAAAAGCCACAGAGGAAGCTCCAGAGATACAATTGTCTCTGCCTTTCCAGTGCTGGGAATACAGCTGAGTACAGTATGCCTAGCTTTTAAAGTTGATGACAGGGAATCGAATTTAGGTCCTGGTACTTGTGCAGCATGGAATTACTAACTAAGCCATCTCTCCACTCTCCTGAATCAACATTAAATTAGTATAATTACTATCTCTCAGTTTTTCACATCCAACCTAGTAGACAGTTCATTTATTAAATCATTCAAAATTTATTAAGAGGCAAAATGTCAGACACAGTGGTCAGCAATCTGGGTCTTGAATATTAAAGTCACTAGTTTCTCTTCAAAGTGACTATACCCAGTGTGTGGTTTCTTGTTGTTATATATGGAACAGATTTTGTTTTCCTTTATCATTCACTTCTTCAGACTTTCTCATTTGTTTTTGCCTTTCCCAACTAGGTCTAGACATAGATATAACAGAAAAAAAAGAAATAAACATATCAAAAGTCTGTCTAAGAACTCTAGTCAGTTTTGTAAAATAAAAAAAAATGATAGAGAAATAAAGGAAACATTTCGATGTTGTCAAAGAAAGGTGCAGTCCAGAGGAATTAATGATGTCCTCTTAATGTCAAAAGATGTCATCAGGGAAGTGTGGTACACAGGAATTAGTGATATCTTCCTCAACAGCTACAACACAGTCGGGGATTAGTATACATCTTTTGGAATGCAGCAAATGATTCTATCATGGGTATTTATCTTGCCTGGAGAGTTCAGAGATCATGAAAGAAGGTTGGTGTTTGTGAAGTGTAGAAGATGTGACAGATTACAACAATTGCTCTTATTCTTCACTCTTTTCATTTATGCAGTATCTAGTGTCTATACTTTCTAGGTGGGAAGGTAGGCTCATTCTTCTATGAAGTAATTTGTTTTGAGCCACGGAAAGTCAACAGATTTGAATCATACATGAAACTTTAAAAATATCAGAATTACTGCTTAACCTATCCCTGACAGACCTTCTGACTCATGAGGGGAAAAAACAAAAACAGATTATGACTGTTTCCAGTTAACAGGTTGTCAAGCATGTATTATGCATCACTTAATCTGAAACTATATATTTTCTGATAAAACCATGCTTGATGGTAGCCTTTTCTCTCTGCTTTAATATTTCAAGCATCTTATTTTCTAACACTTTACTAACAATATTGATGAAAATATTAGATAAAATAAAAATAATGAGAGTGAGAATATAGCTCAATTGTACCTATTACTACACAAATAATTATTTGTAGTGTTGTATGCCTACAGGCTCACACTGGGGCATGGGGAGAGGTAGAAGGATCAGAAGTTTAAGGTCATCCTCAGCTGCACTGTGTGTCTGGGGTCACAACATGACATATATAGATACTTACACTCTCTAATACCATAGTCTTAGATATCCACGCACACAGCCAAGGGAAAATATTATAAATATGGGTAAATGCTCTTGGGCTAGCATTAGAGGGACAGGAATGAGTTATTTCTATGCACAGCAAGGATTTGTTTGCAGCCTCGGTATCTGAAGGGAAGTAATTCTGCCAAGCCAAGCATTTATTTAACCTCATCTCTGGTTCTGGATCCCTGAAACTGGTATTACAATGATATCAATTTCATAAAGTTATTGAGATTATTGAGAGTACGGCATGAGTAGAAATGTGTAACCTACCTAGAACCAAGCTTGGTATTTTAAGCTTCCATTAAATATTAGTTGTTAAAACTAACATTAAAATCTAAGATACAACAAACAGCGAATCTCTATGGGATAAGTACTGAGTTTTGGAGTAGTCATCATAAAAGAAATATATTGGAAATGAACAACTATCAACTAGATGCAAACATAATTGGACCTTAGGATCCTCATCTGAATTAGTAAGAAGCTAAGCATGCACAGTTGTTGGAATGTCTTCTAGTTCTTTGGGAAGCAGTGTCTATGTTATATTGCCCACATAAGGCCACAAAAAATAGGATTTAATATCAAAGTAATTTTTAAATTAGTTTAATGGGTTTAATTCACATTACCATGTGTGTAAATTACAGAAGCAAATTTGATGCCATTATTATCTGAATATAATAGAATTGAAACAAAAATAAAGAATATTTACTTTTGAGATTTCTACCATAAAATAAAGACTGTGTGTGTGTGTGTGTGTGTGTACACTATGCACTGACAGACTGGCCTACAATGCCTTAAATCCGATTAGCAACACAACATACACAGTCTTATTTGCTCTATTTTTAAACAAAGTTACTAAATTCATGCTATTTGCTGTTTTGTATTTCTGATTACAAGGTGCTGTCCCCTGCTGTTTGTTAAAGATTATACCAGTTTGCATCCCCAGTACAGACAAATAATAAGACAATTTTATTTTACTCATATGTCTAAACATCAAAAGAAAATAAAATGTGGAATTCTGTGTAGACACAGAAGAAACTACTGTGGTAGGTAGCATCCCTCCCCATCTTCCCCAGCCATCTCTGTCCACTGACCTTTTATTCTAGACAGGATTTTGGTAACAAGAAGTACTGATGAGTGGGAAGCATGAGGATGAGACGAGTTACCTACTCGGCAATTAATCCTTCTAAAGGAGGGCTTATGAAGAATCTTACCTAAGCGCATTCATCTATTGGTCATAACTGGCAGCTCTGCAGTCTAACTAGCTACACTTTTGTGTCTTAGCAACTGAATTTGCATGTGCACTTTTATGATGTTCCCCCTTGTTGATTCCTTATTCCAGTTCACTTTAACTAATGCCACACAGCAGCTAATACGACAGGATACAGCAATGCCATTTCCATACAGTGCTACAAACTCATCTCTGGGGATCCATAATAATAACAGCCTGAGTGATCTTGACTGTCTTGACAAGCTGCTCTTCATCTTACTAAAACCTAGTCATTTATGTGAAACTAGCAAAACTGAAATCAGCTAGATTGGTTAATATTTGGCAGTCATTTACCAAGCATATCACTTGTCATTTCACTTTTTCTTCAAAATGTTTCAGGAACTTGTTTGAATATTAAATACAGTGATGTAATAAAGAAGATGCAAATCACTATACATATATATGATATATGTATATCATATTATATATTCAATTAATAATTGACTTTGAATGCAAAAATATGAATACCAACTAACCAATTCAGTGTCTTATCGAGCAAATCAGAAACTGTGGTTCTTCAGTTTGTAATGAGAAACTAAGCAGACCTGGGAAAATTTTCTAGTTCCTGCTTCCCTACTTAGCACTCTTCCTTTCCTTTTGAGAGATTTCTTTGCTCTGAAGGGTGATAAGATGTCTAGCAAGCATCTAGTATGCTCCATTTTGAATTAACAAATATGGTCTACTAGTGTTTGTGAAGCAAAACATGTAACAACCAAACATCCACTTAAATATAAAAGCATTAACTCCTCCACAAATTCACATTATATATGAGATGCAACTATATAAAAGCTCTTGAAAACATTGGGTAGCCATAAGCAATTGCAGCTGAATGTGAAAGAAGGGTATTTTCCTTAGCAGGTAGGGACCTCTGAAACACATTACAATTTTTTCATCTTCAAACAAGTGTATAAAAATAAACTTTCGAAGTCCAAAGAAGTAACAACATAGTGCATTGCATATAGTATACAATATGTTAATATTAACGCAGCAAAGAATAGAAAAGAACATTTGGAATGAACTTCAATAAATCTCTGATGTTCCCATAGTAGCACAAAAGTTCTCTCCTTGTCTTTTTGCTCTGTTTTACTTCTCTTTATCACATTCTATTTAACTCTGTCTTAAACACAAGAAAATCTTCTTAGTGCTAGAAAAGAAATAAAATTCAGCCTAAAGATCTTTACTGGGAGAAGGGGAAACAGAAATCTTTATTTATTCTTCATCGTCAATAAGCATGATCTCTAATTGTTACATTCTTTATTCCTGATTTCATTAGTCTCATATCTCAAATAACATGCTTGACAGGCATGTAAGTGACTGCAGCTCATGGAAAGAGCTTTGTGATCATTATAAAAGCAGAGACGAGTGGCAAAACAAATACCTATTCATGTCACTGTTCTATGGTCTGGGTCCCTGCTTCTTAGGAAAGGCAGTGGAGCTGAAATATGCCAAGCGTTCCTCTAACACGAGTTGATGGAAAAGCCCACATCCAAGAGCGAGGGATGCTGGAATTGAGTTGTCAAGCTGTCCTGAATGTCTCGTACAAACTGAACAGGCCAATTTACTGCAACACTGCATAGGCTGAAGGCTCCTATCTCACCTTTACACTTGTTTCCTCCTGGAGGGATTAACCTGCTCTCCCATGCTCTACCTCTCTAGTAGTTCTTGAGGTACCCAGGTTCCTCTCCCCGCTCCCCAATCCTACTTCTTAGTAGGAACCGAGGCTTAATCCCTTCCTTGGGACCCCCTGCGGTACTTCCTAGAGAGGCTCTTACCATCCAATCCGAAATCAAAAGCTTTGTGTTTGTTAATAATCTTGAATCCAATGGTGATTCGGTTTCAATGTATTCTCCTGTGTACTTCAAAACTCTTGGCTTTCGGGATGAAAACAGACAAGCTTTAAAAAATAAAAATAAAAATGACAACTCCCACACAGCCTGAATTTCTTTCCTGATTGCTAGCCTCTGACAGTGAGGGGCACGCTTTAAAACGGCGTTCTTCCGACTATTCCCTCCAGGTGGCAGCAATGCCACACCTCAGAGTCTCCAATCCCCTCTTCCCTGACTTCAAGTGTTAATGCAATTGACCAATCACTGCTAAGATGATGGGAGGTAATTGGGTAATTGTATTTTACTGATCTCTAGCGGAGAAAGGGAACGGAAAAGGGGCAAGAAAGAGGACCAGAGAAGGGGAAGAGACTGCAGTCTGGGTACGCTTTGGGGAGCCTGGACCCCAAGTAACAGGACTCGGCATTGGTGGAGAGAAAAGTCTAGATTGGCAGACGCTGCCAACCACTCAGGGAGCGCATTCTTTTATCTGGAGAGAGAGGAGAGGGAGAAGGCAGAGTTCATGCCGAAGTGGATGGAAGGGGATCCTGGTTTCCGCGGCACAGGGAGTCGCGAGTCGGGACTATGGCACTGAGACCGGCGCGGAGCAGCTGCGCGCCCGAGGACGCATCTCCTCGCGGGGGACCAGCGGGCGTCAGGAAAGACTGCGCACAGAGGAACCAACTTGTGGCTCCAGACCATCCTCAACGCAGCTGGAAATGAGATCAAAGCTGCAGTTTCATTCCAGAAGGATGAGAGGAGCCAGTGATTAGGGATTTTTTTTAACCCTCTTCGTTCCCGTTTCGTCGTTTTCTCTTACCCCCCCCTTTTTTCTTTTGCTTTTAAATATATGTTTGTTTCTTTTTTTTCTTTTTTTAAATTTACCTAACACTACGTCAGTCCCGTCACATTGCTTTCCCCGTACGAAATAAAAGCCCAGTCTGAACTTCGACCGCCCGGGAGACTCGAGATCTGCGGCCAGCTGATGGAGAAGGGGACACCCGTGCTGGCAGGGGCCGCTGGCGAGGGACCGCATCACGCGTCTCTCTGGTGATCCCTGCCCTGATCGCCGAGTTCAGCAATACCTGGAGGAACTGGACCCTGTACTGCGGGTGGGGGAGGGGACTCAGTGAAAGCCACCCTGAGCCTTAAGAAAAAGTAGCTGACTGGGGGCGGAACGGGGTTTGTTCTTGACAGCTGACGGAGCCTTGAAATTTTCCTCCTCTACCTCCGCCCCCTCCCTCGCCCCCGCCCCCCGCACTCCATTTAACGTGAGATTATGAAATCGCAGAGGCGGTGGAGGGAAGGCGACAGGATCTAACAGGGAGTTTGGAGGGGCGAGGGGGAAGGTGGCTGGCTGGGTGGCTGAAATCAAAAATCCAATTGCGCACTGGGTTGTGATGAGAAATCTAATCAGATCTTCGACGAAGGGGCCGGCCAGAAGGGTAGCCGGTGGGGGCAGTTGATCCCCAAATTATCCGAAGGGAGAGCTGGGGACTGGAATCAAGAATGTAAAGAAAGACTTTTTTGTTCTTTTTTTTTTTCTTTCTTTTCTTTTTTCTTTTTCTTTTTTACCTCCCCGGACGAGGTGGCTGTTGGGTGCCTTGCTAAAATGAAGAATGCGGGACGCAGCTCTCTCTTGGAGCAGAACGCAGAGGATAAACTGATTGTGCCAGAAAGAAGAAAGAATGAAGCTATTTCTTGTGAGACCTGGATTGTAACATAAATGTGTATATGGCCACACGGGGAGCATTGAGGAAAAAAATGAAATAAGCTGATGTCAGACCTGCGGGGTTTATTGTGTTCTGACATAAATAAATAATCATAAAATAGCTGTCCCCCTCCCCCAAGGATGTTTGGAAATGGAGAACTGAGGATACACAAAGAAAAAGTGTGTTCATTTTGTTTTCTTTAAAGGAAAAAGTACGCCAAGGAGATATTTTTTGAAATGAAAAGTTTGGGGCATTTTTAGGAAAGTAAAGACCTGATATATATATACATATTTTTTCTCTTTGAATTTCCCACAAGAAAGAGAGGAAATTAATAATAGATCTGCAAAGAAATTTCACTGAAGAAAAGTTGACCGTGGAGGAACGAAGCATTGATTGGGAAAGAAATCAGCAGAGGACTCTTGGATTGGTGCCCATGTTGACTAAAATTGAAGGATAATTGCAGTTGGATCTTTTTTTCTTCACCAACCTCCTTTTCGTTTTCTTTTTCTTTTCCTTTTTGGTGTCAAGACCGTGCATTCTTTCTTGTTCTTAACCACCTGGATTTCCCTCGGGATGTAGCTGTGCTGAGTCTGAAATACAGTGAGTGATCCTAATTTTCTTATTTATCGGTGAAGAAAATGTTCATTAATTTAGTGTTCTGTTTCTTTTCCCTCTCCCTCCCCCTCTTCTGTGGTTTTCAAGGACCGGCTACTGGGAACAAGCAAATGAGGGATAGGGTGGCCCACGCAGTTGTTCCAGCAAGCTGTGCTCACTGATAAGCTGGACTGCTGTAGCGATGCAGGTTGTCTGCATTCTAGGCAAATGCCTTTGCAAATGTTCAGGAAGGAGAAAAGGGAATCTCTCCATAAAGCCCATTGCAGTGTGGGGTGCTGATGCTCGTGATTGACACTCTAGAATGGATTTGAGTTACAAGAAAGCCCCAGACTTAGAAGCCCAAGTGTTCGTTATTGAAAATTGAAGGGACCCAATTTAAATTTCAGTATCCATCCTGACACTGCAGATCATCAGAATGTATTAACACAAAACTATGATAATAAAGCAGGTGGAGGATGGCTTGTGGCTAGTGGGTAGGATGGCTGGGATGGTGTTGAAGGAGGGAATGGCACAGCAGAGGAAGTGGTGGAACACAGACTGCACGTCTCACAGTCTCCTGCATTCCCTTTTCCAAATGTGTTCTTTGCATCCCTGGAGTATTCAGGGGTTGAGCTATGACTGAAGCAGGGAGCACCCTTCATTCCACCTCCTGTAACTTCAGAATCCCTTAGATAACAGAAAAGCTGCACACGGATTGTAGATGACATGGGAGTTTGGCATGGGCTTTACCAAGGACCCACCAAACACCACTGAGAAACAGCTTCAGGAAAAGGCAGACATTTAGCATCCTTTAGTAACTTAGAAAGGAAGACCAAAGGAAAAATTTATGTGTTGATCTCCAAGGCTTATCCTGGGCCAGCTTTGCTTTGAAGGAAAGAAGGCAAAGAAGACAACAACAACAACAAAATAAGTAAATAATAAATAAATAAAAGAGAATGTTTTAAGAGACTTGAGAGGCTGGGGCCTAGGGGATTGATTACCTTCTTCCTAGCCCCCCATTTCTGCCAGTCTTCAAGCTTGCCTGTTGTACAGAATGATCCAACCCCCACCCCTGAGACTCTTCCGTATTCCTCTCTGAATGTTTCTATTAGAATCATGAACTCATGTAACTTTAGAGCCAGGTCAGATATTACATGCCGACAAAAGAATAATCTGAAGCCGAGAGAAACCGTAATTATTTGGTTAATGACCAAACAGTCTGAGACAAGTGACTCACACAAACCTCACAGAAGCAGACAAGTTTTGAATCCAAACTAGGAAAGATTCTGGCGCATATAGGGTGATTACAGCTGCCATTTTTATTCAGAGATGAAAGAAAGGCACAGTGGTCTAGGGAAGGTGAAGTAAACTTCTGCCAATGTAGACATCAAGAGTCATAGGTGCCAACATCCCTCCCCTCCTCTCCTCTCCTCTCCTCTCCTCTCCTCTCCTCTCCTCTCCTCTCCTCTCCTCTCCTCTTCTCTCCTTTCATCTTCACTCTTCCTGTTGACTGGTTCACAAAACTCTGGCTTTAAAATATCTGAAATCCCAGAAGATCCACAAATCTGAAATATCCCAAAGGAGATGGAAGGCAGCTGCCTCCTGGATACCCTGTTAGTGCTGGGCACATTTACTGCTGAGAGTGGTAGACTCTAGAGAGTCATTAAGGAACTGTGGAGTTAGATTTATATTAGAGAGGTGATAATAGAAACCAGAAACACCCTGCTAATAGCTTTCCAAATCTGTTCTTTCTCTCCCATCATCTGTTCTTCTCCTTTCTGTTACTCTTTAACTGAGGTATCCTGCAGCCCAGCACTTGCCTAATTTATTTTTTCCAGGCACATGTTTACTGCTGGGACACACAGATTCTTTTGGAATTTACCAACCTATGAAAGTGCAAGACTTTTTTTTTCTTCCAGATCTTTGTATAAAGGCTTATGTATATTTTATCATTCTCTCACTCAGTCTCTCTCTGTCTCTTTCCCTCCCTCTCTCTGTCTCTCTGTCTCTCTCTCTGTCTCTCTCTCTCTCTGTCTCTCTCTCTCTGTGTGTGTGTGTGTGTGTGTTTATTTGATATGCTTCATATGGCCATTGTTGTTGATTCAGCGTCTTTGGTCATGTAATAATGACTCAAGCTATATAAAGTTGTTGATCAGTTTCAACTTAGTACAAATGACATAGAAGTAGAGACGAAAATGTATCTTGATGCTTCTTTTTTCTTTGTAGTTCAACTTCAGAGTTTAACTGCAAAACCTGCATTGCAAATATGTTGTGTTTACCATTAGGGAGATTTAGTTTTACTCCTCCTTGCTTTAAAATTTCTCTCAGTACTAAACACTACCCTGGATTCGACCACAAATTTCATTTTTCTTTTCAACATTATTGTAGCTTTACTATCCCCCTCCTTTCTTACACAAACAAGTAAATGTTCCCAAGAGGAGGAAAGAAAAAACAAAAGAATCTGATGTCTGTGCTGAAATGTAGCTCCCTCTACTCGCACTGACAAGCCATCTCAAGGAGTCCTTCTTAAGGTGACTCACTTGGCCCACATCACTCTTGAGTGCTCAGGCAGTTTGGGAATAAGCTCTTCTGGCTTTGGAATCAGTCGTCTCTGCAGTTTGTGCAAGTTGTTCATGGAATAGGAAAGAAACGGTGTGGATGGTGGAGCTGCAATGCTACCTAGTCACTTGGTTTCAGATGAAGTTGGCCACTCAGTATTTGTGAGTGGGTAGGTATATCCAACAGTTTGATGAAGGCCACAGTCCCAGAAAACTGATTCATTGTACTAGTTTTAAAGATATTTCAAAATTCTTCCTCTTTGAACCTAATAGCTGTGCCCTTTGGGCAACCTTTTAAATTTCCCAATCCCTCATTTTTTCTTTCGGTTATGTGTTGGGAATTAACATCTTATCCCTTGGTAAATTAGATGTTTTGTAGATTATAAGTGATGTGGTGCAAAGCCTGTGCACAATGACTTCTCTCAGGCTAGGTCTCTGTCGACCGTGGTCTCTCTTTCTGCCGTGGTCACTCTTGAGAAAGTTCATGTGTATCCACTTCCTGAGGATGAATGAGTTTTGACCAAGTACTTTAAGGGTCTACTGGTTACACCCAACCACAGTGACTAGGGGACTGAGCTTATATTCCTTGTTAGACTTTCTTTCCAAGGACTTTCCAAATAGATTGTTTAAAATACAACATTTAATATGTAAATGCTGTTTAGACAAAATCTGAACAAGAAATGCTTAAATAACAATTTAGGCATAATAAAAGAATGCTGTAACTGTTTCTATAGTGCTGTGTACTTTTAAAGCTTCATAGGGGAACTCTGGAATTTAAGTGTCATTTGGTTACATTTCTTGGTCTGGAATGCCTAAACAAAGACAAATATGTCTGCAAATACATAGATTAAATGAGATGTGCATCATTCCATCCCAGCTATTAAGGACCCTAGGTTCACTATCTGGCTAAGATCTTCCTATTCATAGCAAGTCTAACTCTAACTACATAACGTATTTTCTCTGTTAAAAACAGAAGATTCAATCTATGCTTGAGAACAGATGAAGTAGCAGACATATTTAAGTCTTAATACTGGGATATGAAATAGAAGACAAATTTGCCAGTGGTCTAAGCAGTGGATCTTGATCATGGTTTGCAATTCTCTTGACTCTCATCGTAGTTCTGTGTTCTGTCCATTTCCTCAGTAGTCTTCTTAAGAACTTTCTTCACTTTGCCAATAACAAAAAATGGTCTTACTCCTTAATTACCATGTTTGTTGACATGTCCATCATATATGTGCATTATACTGCCTCATACTGTGTATAATAATCTTGACAACATGGCTTACTGGACTTTGATTACTAACCTCTCAAAAACAATTAAAATCTGGCTAGTTTTGGAAAGGCCTCCTACAATTCATAAGTTTCCCTTCTCATATGAAAATATAATGTAGAAATCTTCACCATTTGGTGTATTTTCCTTTGTGTGTGTGTTTTCTAAAAATGACAGGGAAATCAGTTAGAATTCGGATGCCTGTGTTCAAGGTGAGCTTAAATAGTTAACATCACAGGTCCACATGAATCACAGGTGCCGTTTAACCTATTTCAACCTATTTGCTTATCTGTAAATCAGAGGTAAGATAACCACATAAAACTGGCTATTAGGAAAATTAAATCAGGTTCCTTTATGTTGTGTACTGCAAGCCTGCAAGCATTCAATTGATCATGTTTGGTCTAGGTTCAGGGAGTGTATGGCTTACAAACAGAAGTAGAACAGATATTGTTGAGGAGATCTTCATTTCTACTCACTTTGACAAACAGGTGGGAATACATTTGTATCAATGTGCTGGTTATGTCATCTTGACAGAAACTACTCACCTGGGATTCAGAATCCTGAACTGAGAAATTGCTTGACCAGACTGGTCTGTGGGTATGTCTGTCAGGTATTGTCTTGATTTGTGGTTGCTGCATAATAGCTCAGCCTACTGTGGCAGGTACCATCATTGTAATATAGTCAGGGGTTATATAAGAATACTTATATGGCTGAGCCATAGGGACCAAACTAGTAAACTGCATTCCTCCATGGTCTTTACTTCAATTCCTTCCTGTAGGTTCCCTCCTTGATTTCTGTCTCAACTTTCCTGGATGGTGGACTCTAATCTGTAAACTAAAATACACATCTTTCTGCCCAAATTGCTCTTGGTCATGCAGTCTATTGCAGCACAGAAAGTAAACTAGAATAATCATGCACCAGTCATATGGCGTTAAAGCACCCTTGTTCCTATCTCAGGGAATGTATCAGTCATCAAAGTGCCAAATACACTCCGTGCAATATGGATAATGTACTCTGTGTCCATGCATACTTTGGCTGGATTATCAAGAGCTTTATATCCTAGATACCAAAAGTTAACTGGTTAAATAATATCTTAGAACTCTCCAGGCTGGGGGGAGGGGGATTAAGAATCTACCATGTCTTTGTTATTTTCAAATTTATTTCACTCTATAAGCATT